TTTTTTTTTTTTTTTTTTTTTTTTTACAATGTTACAAAATGTTCCATGTGAAAGAAGGATAGAAAAATGGAAACTTCTCATTCATCGGAAAAACAACATAAGTATTACTTAGAATGCAACAAACATTTAGGAGATAATGGAGTTCAATGCAATGTAGAAAAAAACTACCAACAAGGAGATGCCATGTTCGACAAGATGTAACTTTGTATTTTAGCAAACATAAATTAAATGAATTCAATTTACTAGTTAAACTCGAAAAATGTCTTTAATAAAAGTTTTTTTTAAAGAAAAAGTAATGCATGAGATAATTCAATTTGAAAATTTGGGTCTTACAATAAGGACTAAAAATAGTATCTTAATCCAAAAATAAAATATTTAATTTTTTAAAAAAATACTTATTATAAACTAATTATTGATAATTTTGTAATAAAAATATTAAAAGAATAAAATATTCAAATAATTTTGAGGACATCATTTTTTTTGGCTTCTTTTGAAACATCAAAAAATCTCATATTCAAGCTTAGACTTCTGCCTAAAGGTAAGTTAATAAGTCAAGGTGTAGCAAGACAAACACTAATTATTGTTAGTTGCTGTGTTATGAAAATGTGTTTCCTCATCACTACTAGAAAAATGTCATTTTTCTGTGAATTTTCTTGCAAAAAAATATTCGCAGAATTTTTTTGTGAATTTTCCTACAAAAAAAATATTCCAGAAATTTTTTACAAATTTATTTGCAAAAAATAATTTACAGATATTTCTTACAAATTTTGCTACAATTTTAATGATCATAGAAATTTTTTCCATGATAAAAATTTGCAGAAAATATTGTAAGAATTTTATTTTGTTTCTTGCAGATTTTCTTGCAAAAATAAATTCGCAAGTAAATGGTAGAAAAAATTTGCAAGTAACTTTTTTTTGCAAATTTTCCTGCAAATTTTAATCCGCAGGAAAAATAAAAAAAAATTTAAAATTTATAAGTTTAATATTTTAAAAAAAATTCAAGTCCCACATCGATTGAAAATAAAATAATTAAAAAGTATATAAGTTGGGGCAACACTTACCTTACAAGTTGATTTGTATGATTGAGTATTAAACTTATAATCTATAATCTTAGAATTTAAAAGATTATGTGTCACATGTTAAAGACATGGAAACAAATGCTTCGGATGAATTCATTATGTGAGCATTTGAAAGTTGAAGAATTATTGATAGAATTTATAGTAATTTTTTTAATTTTTTTGGTAAAAAATATTCTTGCAGAAATTTTTTTGCGAAAAATTCGCATTTCCTATTATTTTTTTTTTGCAAGAAACTTTTCTATGAATTTTTTTCGCAAGAAATTTAAAATTCGCAAAAATATATTATCCATGAAGGTATTACCTGCAAATAAAATTTCATAGAAAAATTTGTAGCAACAACATTTTCTGCGATTTTTTCTTAAAAATTCGTAAGAAAAGTCGCATGTAATAAAAGAAATTCTAGTAATGCGTAAACCAGGCAAAATCTAAAATCACAACTTACTTTCATAGAAAGTTTCCCAGTCAACAATCATCATGTATACACTTGATAATGTCGGTATATTTTCAAATGATTACTTTATACAATGATTCAGTTATAAAAGAATTAATCATATCCAAGCCATATATTAAGAATCTCAATATTTTAATTCTTCATACCATAACATATTATGCATTTATATAATGACAAAACATATTGTGTATTTGGTTTCTTTTATATATAAAGAGGATGAATATACTTACTTTAACAGTAAATTTATGTAAAATGATTTTTCTCAATAATTTATGTTTTATATTAAATTTAACGATTTAACTATTAAATTAAAAGTTCTTAATACATAAATAAAGTCTGCAAAATATTAAAGAATCTAAAAATTATTAAATATTTTATTTTATTAATTTAAATTAATAAATAATTATAAAAATATTTTAATGTTGATTTGAATTGATGAAATCGAGTATCAAATAATTTTTAGATTCTTTAAAATTATACAAACTTGATCCATGTATTAAGAACTTTTAATTCAATAATTGAATCGTTAAAATTTAATGTAAAACATAAATTATTAAGACAAGTAACTCTAAGTAGACTTACTTTTGGAGTAAATGAATCCTCTCATAGATCCACTTACTTCAAGAGTAAGTCTACCTAAACTTACTCCTAAAATAATAAGTTTAAGTAGACTTACTTTACTTAATAACTTATGTTCTATATCAAATTTTAACGATCCAACCATTGAATTGAGAGTTTTTAATGCATAGATCAAGTCTACAAATTTGCAAAAAAAAAATGAAAGTTATTTGATACTCTATCTCATTAATTTAAATCATTGTATAAAATATTTTTATAATTATTTACCAATTTAAATTAATAAACAAAATATCAAAATTTTCAAATTTTTTAAATTAATGCCAATGGTGGTGGTGTACTATGAATGATGTCGATGTTGGTAGCTAGTAGAGGAAGTGACAACAAAAATACAATATGGAAGATGCATTGTAATAAGATGGATCTTGATTAATCTAAAGAACAAAGTTAATGGTTCATGATAGACTACCTATAATGGTGGTTCATCTTATAATGCGTTAAATATATAGTAATTTTATTTAATTGAAGAAAAGTTGAAGGTTCAAATATATAATAATTTCTTAACCCACTAGTTTTAATTTTAATAAATAATAATAAATTTATCAGGTTCCTTTTTATTTGGCTCATCTATAATTACTTATAAAAGGAATTTTTTTTATGCCAAGAAAATTTTCCTTTTATAATCACTTTTGTCTCCATTTTTTTTCTAACCTTTTCACCCACTCAATTATACAAGAATTATCTTCTAATTAACAATATATTTAAGTAGATAATATATATATATATATATAACTGTTACACATGTTGTGCATGGTTGTCATTAGCTTGTGTTGTAAGGTGTTAAGTTAAATTGTGCCTTGATTCCACTATTTCTAATAAATAACAATGAATTAATCAGTTTTTTTTATTCAGAGTATCAATTATAATTTGATGAAAGGAGTTTATTTATGATTTATTTAAAATTATCTTATGATATACATTATTTTTGTTTTATTGAAGGTTTGCATTTAAGTAAGTACATAAGAAAATTTATAAAAATATCTTATAATATATTCATAATTTATTTCTAACTTAGTTCAATAAAACTTGTAAAATAACTTATAAAACAATTACAATTCGTGTAAAAACGAGTTTCTCCGTTCATTATATATAAAAAAAAACTTAGAAATGAATGTTAACGTAACGATATTTATTCAATGTATGAATCCTTAATTAGACTCTCAATAAATATTAATATACTTATATATTCTTACCATGCGAAATTTATTAAAAGTTACATAATTCTGCAAGTTATTTTGATTCATATTTATTCGTAATTTATAAGTTAATAAATTTTAATTATGGGTAGAAGTGTTAAAAGAGGAGCACTCCCTGAGTCTCACTCCCACTCACTCCTCTTAAACTCTTCAAACAGCCGAAGTAATCATCACCCGGAAGCTTCTGCAGATTCTTCCACCGTCTTCCACCACTGCTCCTGAGAAGAAGAATCGAAACTCCGCGGAAACTTCTCGAAACCCTAGCGAGGTGGTTTTCTTCGAAGGGCGAAACTCTCTCTGAATCCGCTAATGGCGTTTTGGTGGCCCTTGCTCGTCCTAGCGCTCGCTTTCGCCATCGGCAAGTTCCTTCTCATTCTCATTCCTCCCAAGGTTCCTTCCATCGACGTCGACGCTTCCGACGGTACTCTCCCTCCCTCACTCTCTAATCTCTATCGCACACGTTAATTTGTTGTGACGCAGAAAATGCAACGTCGATTTTTGATAATCACAGTGTTGGACGATGGGAGCCTGGCGCAGGAGAACAGCTACATATACGTGAGTGCTATGCATCGGCAATTTATATTTCGCAAATCTTTGTTGTGTAGTGACGTGTTTCTATCGGTTTTCTAATTTGAGGCTTTTGCGTGATCGGCGAGATTTGCTTTTATGTTTGGAATTTAAGATTCGAAGTCTGATTAATTAATTGCAAATGTATGTGGTGCCGAATCGATGTTGTTTCGCGATTGACTTCTTCATGGCATGGCACTTTGAATGCTATGATTTGGAGGCTTCTGATTTTGTTCTTCCTTTTTTGGAGAATATGGCTGATTCGGTCTCATTGATGATGATTATTTATTGCCAATCAGGTGCCTCCGAGGGGAACGGCGCAGCAATCGAGAAGGGAAGTTAAGTGCTATGAACCTGCTACTATGAAATATTTGGGATATGTTCCTGCATTGACGCCGGATGAGGTCTGTGAGCCTACACTTCTAAGGAAACAGATTGTTGTGATGCATGCTTTTAGTATCTAGTTTGAGCAACAATTGTTTTAAGATGCACGTTGTTTTTCATTTTATTTTTTCTTGGGTAATTAGTGTTTAGAAACTTTGATATTTAAGAATAAGATAAGAAACTTAGAAATTTCTTTGGCTAAAGAAAAACACCAGACAAAAAAAAGACTGAGTAGTTTGTAAGGGTAGCATTGGTGATAAACTAATTGTTGGGTACCAAGGGTTCCCATACACACGTTTCCATATTGATATGATATTATTCACTTTAGGTTTAAGGCCTCATAAAATTGCTTTTGGTCTTCTTCCAAAAGGATTCATAACAATAGAGATTATGTGTGTTTTATAAATCCTTGTTTCTCCTCATGGTCTAGCAGGGTGAGACTTTGTTTGTGCCCTAACAATCCTCCCTTCAAATAAAAGACCATGGTTTAACCTCTCCTTCAATGGAAATATTTTTTCCATCCACGAGTATTTAATGGTGCCCCTTAGAGTTTAGCCACATCTGCTAGCTCTAGATACTTGTACCACCATTAGCTCACACATCAACGGGACACGTCGCTCGACCATTGTTAGGAAAACTTTCGTCACAAGAGATCCCACACTTGGATCTACCACCTTTCATTGCCAAATACTCATCTAAGCCAGTCACTTGGTCGATCATTGACTCTGATACCATTGTTAGTCACTGGGGATTTACACACGTCTCTATATTAGTATGATATTGTTTACTTTAAATTTAAACTCTTATGGTTTTGCTTTTGGTCATCTTCCAAAAAGTCTCATATCAATGGGAACCATGTGTGTTTTATAAATCCTTGTTTCTCCTCATGGTTCAACAATGTGGGACTTGTTTGTATCCCAATATTATTCACGTTACGCTATGCTAGTTGTGTTGATGAAAAGTTGACTGTCAGTTGTCATTAGCTTCTAGCTAAACTTGTATGTTATAAGTTTCCTTTTTGGCATTTTGGATGCTTAGTCATGTTGAAATGCAAATTCGGTAGAATTCCATTTAAGCTGATATTTTTTTAACTTAATTCTTAAATATGAAAATTCCTTTTCCCCAACGTTGACAACCTTTTGGTTTTCATCCGTGTATTATTTTTCTTGTATACGAATGCATATTATGCCAGTGCCTAGTTTTAAGGATTCACTGAAGTCCTGGTGGTGGCACTCTAAATGATATAATGTGAGGATAGGAATGACGGTTACAGTTAGAAGTAAGCCAAGCCGAGCTAAACCTAGAACAAGGTCAGTGCAATGACAAAGGGCTTGACTCATGCTCTGCTCGGGCTTAACTTGTTAAGAAGCTGAAGTTCTTTTCTTGGGTCAATCCTAGTGCTTAAGCTGCATCGGCTTGATCCTATACTCAATAAGCTTTTTCTTTCATTTTTATATATTTTAATTGAAAAAAGTGTTTAACAATATAAAGAGTGAAATTGCTAGGTGTTCTCTCTGTCTCCCTCTCTCTCTCTCTCTCACACACACACACACACATGCACAAGTTAGTCAGAGTTGCACCAGACAATCCCATGATTTATGAATTTAAAGCTACCTTCTGATCCCTTGATCCCTTGCACATTGAAGATTGTTTTTCTGGAGGGATTGTGTGGGATCTCTGGGAAAACTAGTAAAAGTACTGGAATTGGCAATGTTCCATGAGTTACGAACCTGCAGTGCTGACAGGTTAGCAATCTGTGACGTAAGTTAGTTATTTTACCTATTCCATGTTCATTGTCCTCTTGCACTCAATTGAATTCTCTCAATCTCAATCCTCTCTCTGTCTATCAATTTCTGTTCTTCATTGTCTCCTAACAGCTGCAGTCTAAGCCTTTGTTCTTCATCGTTCTTTGTTTTGCTCTTCACTTTTACTTCTCTGTTCCTGTTTTTCTTTTTCTGTTTTAGTTTCCTATGTGTTCTCTAGAACCTACATATTTTATATTGTAGTTATTAGCTTGTAACTTTAGCTTAAGTTCTGACTTGTTGGTTGCGTGTGACTGTTGAATGAATAATAAGATGAAATATCTTGAGTGAAAAAGCCACTCAGTGGATCTCATCACTAATGGCACTTACAAAGCTACAAAGGGGATTATTTGATTCACAAGAGCAAGTTGTTCCAAAGTGTTTATAAAATATTGGTTGCCAGTTTGTCTAGATTCACAAGTATGGCAAAAATTAACTAGAACTATGTTGCATGTATGAATAGGTCAGGGAGCGTGTGGAAAAAGTTCGGAAGGCACAAAAATTGTGGGCAAAGACAAGCTTCAAGCAAAGGCGTCAGTTTTTGCGTATACTTTTAAAATATATAATTAAACATCAAGCACTTATATGCGAGTAAGAGCACTTCTCCATGGTAACTGAAGGAAGATTTAAGTATTACTATTTTTTTTAACTTGCATAATGTTGCTCTTGTGGTATTCTGGGAAGCATACAAGCATCTTTTTTGTTTTTAGTTATCATATTGTTTCATTCATCAGTCTAAAATATGTATGAATTATACATTTTGCATAAGAATATTGTAACTTTCTTGAGTATATTCTAATCCATGTGCTTTTTACCAGAATATCTTCACGTGATACTGGAAAGACAATGGTAGATGCCTCTTTAGGTGAAATAATGACAACATGTGAGAAGATAAATTGGCTACTATCAGAGGGTGAGAAGTGGCTAAAGCCTGAGTATAGGTGCCTTACTCAATCTTCTTCTTCTTCTTCTTATTTTTCCCTTTGAATTTAGATCTAAAATGCAGTAGATCTATACAGATATTTTTTCTTGTATGTGGGTAAACCATAACCTCTTCCCCCCCAACCTAGTAATTGATACTTTCTCTATGCAAGTCTGCATAAAGGGACTGGTAGATTATCTGTTGCAGTTTATTTTATTTTTTTAATGTGTTCTTTTTTGGGTTCTAGCACTGAAATTGTAAAATTTTATAATTTTATCATACATTCTGCTGATTATTTTAGAAAAGAGAGGCATTTCATTTTTTATACACTGACTTTTTATGGTAAAATTACAAATTTTCTAAATGCACTTTCATGATTACTTTGTTTTTTTGATAAATAAAAAACTTACAGATCCTCTGGAAGAGCAATGCTTCATAAAAGAGCCAGAGTAGAATTTCACCCTCTGGGTGTTATCGGTGCCATTGTGTCATGGAACTATCCTTTCCACAATATTTTTAATCCTATGTTGGCAGTAGTTTTTTCTGGAAATGGCATTGTGATTAAGGTATAAAATGACATATATTTGCTATCTGCCTATCTAGAATTGTTCATTCCATGAATGCACCACATTTTTTAAAGAATAGACATTGTTGACTGATATCTCTCATGGTATATTAACATTCATTGACAAACTTGTATCCAAACTGAGACGCTGCAAGGGTTAATACTGCTCTTACTATTTACTATAAATTTATGTTTGCAATTTGACAGAAATGTGATTCTAAATGTAGATTTCAGAAAATGCAAGTTGGTCTGGGTGCTTTTACTTCCGTATCATCCAATCAGCTCTTGCTGCCATAGGAGCTCCAGAAGACCTTGTCGAGGTTATAACAGGGTATAGCCTTATTTTGCACCCATCCTTCTTCCCTTTGGTTTCATAGTTACATCTGTTCCTATAGCCTTAATTGGACTTTTCTTACCAGGTTTGCTGAAACAGGAGAAGCACTGGTAACTTCTGCTGACAAAGTCATTTTTGTAGGATCCCCTGGGGTGGGTAAGATGGTATGATCCTTTGGCCTACCAAATTGGTATATCCTTTCCTCTCATCTCTAACTTCTGGTCTATATAATAATAATATAGTAATTTTGTTTCCAACAAAATAATTTTTTGAATTTCACAGTAAATGTTAAATAAATAAATTATACAGAACTCATTAAATGCTTAACTGAGTTGTATCTGGATCTGCTTAAGCCCATTTGTAGCTAGGAGAAAAAGGAAGGCTTAATTGCACCTTTACAAAAGTTGCAGAATCTCACAAATTTTTCCCTCAGAGTTTTTTTTGAGAATTTTGCTTCCCAGTTTACAAAATGTCACCAATTTTGCTCCCACATACTTAAAATGCCACAATTAAGACAATTTTGTGGTGGTTGTTCCTTTATAAACCGCCACAATTATGGGAATTTTGTGGCAGTTGTTCCTTTAAACTGCCACAATTAAGATGTTTTTGTGACTTTTGTTCTTTTAAATTGCCACAATTAAGATAATTTTGTGGCATTTATTCCTTTAAATTGTCACAATTAAGGCAATTTTGTGGCAGTTTAAAGGAATAACCATAAAAAAATTGTCTTAATTGTGACAATTCAATTATGTTGAGGCAGATTGGTGACATTTTGTAAATTGGGGAGGGAAGAAAAGAGGAGGGGGGGGGGGGAAAATTTGTGAAAAAAATCTCTGGGGAAAAAGTTTGTGAGATTCTGTAAATTTGGAGGCAAAAAGTAAAGTCAACAGGGAAATAAAAAAATAGTAACCTCAAGTTTCTGTATACCTCTTGTTTAGAGTGATGTCTTGGAAGCAAAAGGAATGCAGGGTATATATCCACCTTTTAATACAATAAGAAGTCTTTGTGCTCTGATGATATGATTTATTCTTTTATACAGATAATGAGAAATGCTGCTGAGACGCTCATACCAGTTACACTCGAGCTCGGTGGAAAAGATGCATTTGTTGTTTGTGATGATGTAGATGTGGACCATGTATGAATGCCTTCCAACATTTGGCTGCCAAATGTTAACCTTGCAACTTAATGAAATATTCATTCTTGAATGCATGGTTTTAACACTGATCTGCTGAATATAGGTTGCTCAAATTGCTGTGAGGGCTGTTCTTCAGTCAAGTGGGCAAAACTGTGCTGGGGCAGAGCGGTTTTATGTGCACAGGAACATTTATGCATCCTTTGTCAGTAAAATTACCAAAATTATAAAATCCGTTACAGCTGTAAGTGTCTCTTTTTAGAACATTTCATTCGTGAAATGTCTTACTCCTGCATCTTTCTTTAAATCAACATGAGAAATTTAATCACATGTGCTTGCACTTAATTGTTACAGGATTGCTGTTTTAGCAATCTATCAGCTTGTCTTCACATCTGTTTGTCTTGTACGAAATTCTCAGACCTTGATAGGAACTAAGTATTTGTTTCAGAAAAAAAATATATGGATAATATAAAACCCAATTGTAGAGATGAGAATGACTCTATCAGAAACAAATGATAGAACCTTGCAGACCTTGAGGGTCTGCAGTGCACCTCCCTGCCTTGAGGCCCCAAAACTTAATCACTGTATGTGGATGCCTCCCCACCTATCCCCTCCTTAGATTTTATATTTGTTTCTTATTGAGTCCATATTCTGCATACCCTCCGTACCATGTAGGCAACAGATGGTGAGTACCCAACAGATGTTCATTTGATTCATGATATGTTACCTTGTCCTTTTTTCTGTTGATGAATTTTCGCTTTCCTCTTTTCATTCTCCTCCCTTTTAGCAGCCCTGAGGACATAGTTGTCAATATAGGATAGCAGAGTGGAGTGGCCGAACCCAAAAGTGGGATGGCGGGATAGTGAGATGACCTCTATTTTAATATTATATTTATATTTATATATTAAATAATTAATATATATATATAAAAGCTAAAAAACAGAAAAATAACTCTAAATTAATTCAGTAATCATTTTTAATAACCCTGGGACCAGTTCCAGCAGCACCAGCCCCTAAGCTCTGATTTTTTGGTTGGGCCATGGTTCTGCTAATAACCAAAGAACAAAACTGCCCAAATTAAAAAAAAATGAACAGAAAAAAAGAGAAAGAAATGGAACAGAACAAAGAAGTGAAAAGAAAAAAAAAAAAAAAAAGGAAAGAAAAAGGAAGAAAAAAATCACGAGAATGAGGAGAGAAAAAAAGAGAAGAGAAGAAAGAAAAAAATAGAAGAAAAAAGATCAGGAAAAAAAAAGGAGAAAGAATACTGTAGGAGAAGTGGACTGGAGAGAGAATGCCAGAAGAGAAAGTCCTAGAAGAGGAAGAAGACAACGCACGAACAGAGACAAACTGAAACAAGGTTAGAAAATCTATCTGAGAAGACGCACAAAGAGGACGCATGGAGAGAGCCTGAGATGGCGCATGAAGACAACGCACAAAGACGAGAGTGTCGGAGGCTAGGATTGTGTTGTTCACATAGAAGAGAAGGGACAAGGGTTGTGTTGTTGGTACTCCAAATGGCAAAAATACTCTTAATAAGGTATTTTCAAACTTTTTAAATTCTCAGATCCCCGACTGCTATTCGAAAATGCTTTGCTCCAAGGTCAGCATAATGGCACGAAGTCGCTCCACTCCATTGCGCCGTGATAGCGGCTGCTAGGACCCCGCTATTGACAACTATGCCTGAGGAAGCATTAGCTATATAGTTAAATTATTTGCATCAACTAAAATACTGGCTCTACATCTGATCTATCTTGACACACAGATACTCGATTGTTTCTATATCTTTAAAATTCACTAAATTGGTATGTAAGTAACTTGTGGGTCAACTAGAAAATTGATAGAACTTAGTGAGTTTATACTTTTAGGTGTGAACAAATTACCTTTTTTGCTTGTGTACAATATCAGTAACAAGGTTTAAACTTAAAATCTTTTGCAAGCTATGGCAACCCAATCATTAGGTTGGCCCTAGTGGGTTCATTACACGTGGTATCCTCCAATTTTATTCTGAAATAATAGTTCTTGGAAATAAAGCACAGGGAATCTGGATTCGTGACTCAGTCATAGGGAGGAGGTAAAGGGTCAGGAACTTGAACAAATCCCACACATTGTAATTGTATTAACATTGAGGATTTGGAACTGCTATACTAGCGAGAACCCTTTTTCATTGATTATTGGAGAATAGGCATCTGTCTCAGAACTATTTAGTATTAAGAACACCATTTTTAAAGCCTTTCAGTTAATTATTTTTTGCAGGGCCCACCACTTGCTGGAAAGTATGATATGGGAGCTTTATGTATGCATGAGCATTCTGAAAAACTTGAAGGCCTTATAAATGATGCTTTAGACAAAGGAGCTGAAATTATTGCTCGTGGAAGTTTTGGACATATAGGTGAAGGTGCAGTTGATCAATATTTCCCTCCTACAGTGATTGTGAATGTGAATCACTCAATGAGATTGATGCAAGAAGAGGTAGAAAAACTTGCTGTTTACTCTGCCATGGGCATCGCTATTTTTTTCTCTCATCTATTGTTGTTATTAATGTTACACTTATCAGCCATATTGTCCGTATCTATGACAAAAACAAAAATTGTTCATATGGTGATTAGAAGCATTGGAGTTTTGAAATATGTATAATGGTGTCTCGTGTTATATATGTACTGCAACCATTCATTTATATATTCAGTTCAAGAATATCTTTCTATATATCTTCTATGCTTCAAAAACCGCTTACTAGATTCATTGGTATATTTTAATAACTTCTAGGCATTTGGACCAATCATGCCAATAATGAAATTTAGCTCTGATGAAGAAGCTGTCAGGCTTGCAAATGATTCAAAATATGGACTTGGCTGTGCTGTTTTCTCAGGCAATCAGAGCCGGGCTAGAGAGATAGCTTCCCAGATACATTGTGGGGTTGCTGCAGTTAATGATTTTGCAGCAACATACATGTGTCAGGTAAATTTTATTTACTATTTTATCTTCATCTGTCTCTCTCAACAGGGGGTTCACCTCAAAGGGATCTAGTAGCAGTGATATGATCTATACTTTGTTGATCAAATTCAGCTGCTAGAGACTTTTGAAATATGGTGCACCTGAGTAATGACTTTCTGATTTGAAAGTTAGTCTATTATAAGTTTGAAATGTTTTTTTTTTTTTTTTTGCCAATTTGGCTATAGAACTTTTTGGAAATAACTTCTGATTTCAGTGACAATGTATGAATGTTATACCATAGAGTTTGATTTTTTTATATGCCTTTTTGGCTTATTAAAATTAAGCAGTTCTTTTAGCCAAATTACCAGGATATGATCCCAATTCAGCCTACGTTACATCGTTAATTTTAATTTCGATTGAATTAAAGTTGCACTTTGATTTTTCCACTATTCCAGTCCCTGCCATTTGGGGGTGTGAAACACAGTGGATTTGGAAGATTCGGTGGTGTTGAAGGTTTGCGAGCATGCTGCCTTGTAAAATCTGTTGTTGAAGACAGATGGTGGCCGTTCATCAAAACCAAGATACCGAAGCCTATTCAGGTAATTGTGGAGAACTTTTCATAATTATATACAGTATTATTTTACTTCACTGCGAGTTGGAAAGATTTATACTGAGATGGGATTTTTCTCTGCCCCAGTATCCTGTAGCAGAAAATGGATTTGAGTTTCAGGAGTCTCTTGTTGAAGCACTATACGGGCTCAGCGTATGGGACCGTTTGCAAGCATTGGTTAACGTGTTGAAAATGCTTACGGAGCAGAACTCTACAAGTGACAGCAGAAAGAAAAAAACATGACTTGTCGTGTCAGGACGGGTAACATTCCAAATGGTTCATATTCATATCATCATGTTCAAATAATTGAGGACTTTCGGTTTTGTCGTTTATTTCCAACTGTAATTTTCTGTAGCCATTATTAATTCCTGCTATTTTTCTTGTGCTTATTCGATGACATAATCCTGGGCTACTTGTCTGATGAAAATTCATCTGTGTTGCGAGTTTTCAAAAATCTGGGTACGGTTACGGTAATGTAATTTAAAAGAATTATATTTTTAATAATATAAGCCTAAAGTAAATTGTATAAATTTTTAAAAAAACTCACATAAACAGCACACATGGTTATAATGTGACTCTTAAACTATGATGTCACACTTTAATTATGATATATTACACTTTAATAGTTTCAATTTCTTCGTTTCCTTGTTCATTGTCTGTGAAAAGAAAAATTGTTTGACTCTGGTTCATCAAGAGAAAAAGTAGCAACTTCAAGAATGTCAGTCAAATAGATCTTTATCAATATTTCACATTTTGCTCTCACTCTATAACTTGCTCTTTCTTGACAGGAGACAAAGATTTGTATGTATAAAAACAAATCTTGAGCTCTCTTAGGATTGATTTTTTTCTTCTTCATAAAATGGATAAAAGAATATGTACTTTGGTTTCTCTTACAACAACAAGATGATGATGGTTGTGAGAGATGTTTCAATGTAATATATTAAAGTTTGGAGATTGTTGAACCATACTAAAATATAGAAGTTGTATTGTGAAAACATCAACAATTAGTTAAATAGATTAATGTGAAAACATCAAATAATTGAATAGAGATTAATTTGGACATTAGAGATTAATTAGAAGAATATATAGTGAATGAAACCGTTGAAGGATGAGAATCCAAATTTGAGAGCAATTAGAAATAATAGAAAACCTAATTTTTATTGAAATATTTAGATTTTATATTTTGGTGCGAGTCTGAGACGTATCCAAAAAGCACTGATATGTATGCAATGTGTATGACATGAATTCGAGTATCTATGCTTTAGATATGTTCATATGGATTTTATATCGTATGTTAATGTAATTCAAGCAAGAAAATTCTCAACATGAACTACTGCTGTCAAGCCAATATCTTTTTTCTTATTAAAAATAAAAACAATATAATTTTTATGGTTAACTTCCACTTCCAACCAGTACCGGTACGAGTAAGTACCCGGTATGTGTATGACATGAATTTGAGTATTTATGCTTCATATACGTTCATATGAATTTTATATCATATTGATAGAATTTAGGCAAGAAAATTTTCAACATAGACTACTATTATAAAGCCAATATCTTTTTTCTTATTAAAATGAAAAACAATATAATCTTTACGGTTAACTTCCACTTCATCCTGTGGTGTAGCTCAGAAACACTGCCGCCTTCCGTGTTATGAAATTTGGCATTTTACTCCCTTATGATTTGACCATTTGATTAAAAAAAAGTTGGACTTGTTTGATTACTGTTTTTAAAAAACTATTCCAACACATACATTTTAAGAACTGTTTTTTTTTTTAATGTAAAAAGCAAAAATAAAAAAGATGTTGAGAACATGATTCTGTAAACGTTTTAATATCTCATCCAAACACTAAGCTGCAATGGTGATAAAATGGAAGAAAGAAAAAGAGAGGATTTTATATGGTGGAGACCGAAATGGATAAGAGCAAGGGGTGGGGTATGACTCTATTGGACTTGCTGGAAAAGGAATGAAATGGTTATCGCTTGGGGCGCCACTCTCGATATTGTTGGATGAAAACCAGCTCTTCGTTGAGGAACGTCACCACATGTGGAATGTGGTGGTTCTTAGGTTCAATTACATTGAGGAAAATGAATGAATGGGGTACAATTATGTTGTGGAAGAATATAGTTGGAGATGGTGAGTGTATGGGATTTAGAATTAGAATTTTATTTTTAAATTTTCATTAATGAAATGAGTCATTTACAGCATTGTCACCCTGAAAAATAAAAGAGTTTGAGAACATCTCAATTACAGGCTTGTTCTTGTTTCTAAAATTTCAAATAAAAAGCCTTTTTTACCAAGCATTTTTTTTTATTTATAATTTTCTTCTAAAACTTAAGAACTGTTTTGAAAAAGGAATTTAGCTCTTTTATACTGAAGATGTGTGTATAGTGAAAAGTCAGGTTTTATTTATCGATCATTTTTTTTCCAATGAAGAAATACTATTTATGCACAACGGCTTGTATAATTTACCATCCATGAATGATTAACACAATATTTAACTTTCCGCGTATCACAATAAAATTTAGATTTAACTTCAACTATTAATTAAATCCTTATTAATATTGGACTTCTACTGTAGAGTAAAGTCTTACATTAGTTAAAATTGAGCATGTTAAGTAATATATAAGTGAGAAAAATTTATTTAACTAATATCTTAAGATTTTAGGTTATATTATGGTGTCAAACTCACTTGTGTTACTTACTTACTATCCATTGAATTGATACTCTCAATGTTAGAAACTCCCCAACAATTAACAAACGGTCCCTTTGAGTTTTGATTTTGTTTTCTATAAAAAAAAATTCTTTATTTTTCATTCTTCTAAAATTTACAAATATTATTTTTTGTTCTTGTGAAATTTTAATTTTTACGTGTATAAAATATTTTTTTTTTACTTTTATCCTTCTAAGATCTAAATTCATTACATTTGTTTCCTAATGATCATTTTAAGATACATAAATAATTTATACTTCATGGATGTATTAAAGTTTATAGAGAAGTCAAATATTGACATAATATCACTAACAATCATAAGTAACACTTAGGATGACCACTTAACCTTTTAATAAATAATAAGTAGTTAAAAATGAATCACATAAAAAAAATATAGACTAAAAATAATAGCTTCAATTTTAGGAAATGAAAAAAAGAAAAAATTTTAGAGGGACCAAAATCAAAATTTGTTTATTTTGTAGGGATTAAAAATATATTTAAATATTTTTTATTATGTATATTCAACCATGTAAAAGTTGAACCCTAATCATTATACTTAAAAGAATCAGGTTACCTATCAATCATGTTAAAACTTTGTAAGTTTATATGAGATATATCTCAACATTATTTAAATATTTTCAATCTTGCATTTATTTTTCACAATTTATCTCTTTATTTTTGAGGTTGAGTCTTGACATATTAACAAGGTTGTTGTTGTCTCTTGATTCAATAATTATAAGGTTTGTCTTAAGATATAAGGGTTGATTTGACGATCTCAAAATCGATTCATGTTGTGTTAAAGTGACGTTTGGTTGGTGGAAGTTAGGTCTTGTGAAGTGCAAATTAGTTATTGATTGTCAACTTTAAAATATTATATGAATTATATTCATGGACCAAAAAAAATGATTGTTGACATCCAAGTTAAAAGTCATGAGTTCAAGTTCTATAAATAGTATAATATCTCAACAATGGATGTAAGGCTTCATTTGGATAACCAATGATCAATGGAGCATAGCATAATAAAGTAAAGTGAAATGAGTTGGATTAATATGAAATTGAATAAAATTATTGTTGTCTTGTTTAGATATTTTACGATAAAATGGATTAAGATTGATTTAATATTATATTCATGTAATTTATATGGTTGTACATATTTTATCTTAGTACTTACACTTAAAAATAATGTTTTACTTTCTATAAGAATATTTTCAATTTTATTTTAGTCTCTACCCTTAGAAACAAGTTAATGCCATCAACATATGCTTACATGACATTGATGTGTGTTGCACTTTATATATTAGTTCTTATAGTTACATTATTTTTACATTTAGTCCTTATACTTGCCCAACTTTTACATTTTAGTATTTACACTTAAAAATTACTTGTTTTTATTTTTTTGCGTAAAATTGTTAGATATGTTAGATATATGATGCATCAAACTTTTGTTACATCGTTTTAATCTTATTACAAAAAATACTTGGATATTCATACCACTATTATATCAACAACTTTTTTTAATGCTTTCGTTTTGTCATTGGTTGCCATCTAACTCAATTTGCTCTAGTTCTCTAACATTGTCACAAAACCGAACCTGGAGGTATAAAATTGCAAAAAACAAAGAAGAAAAAAATCTAATGTTCGTTAAACTACCATAAATTTGAAAATAGAAATGCTTTTATCACATATCACTACTAGAGACAATTTTTGGCGATTGTATGTGATAAAAATATTATGCAACTTAAAAAAATGAATTAAATGATAACTTTTTATGTTTTCAAGCATCTAATATTGCAACAAATTAAAATAATGAAACAAGTCTCTTCATTATAAAAAGTACGTCAACACAAAATGCTATCGATTATCTCATCTTATCTAAGAAAATACAAGCTCTACAACTTTAAAACTCAATGAATTAGGATAAATGATAATTAGTTAATGTTAGAGAATTTAAAAAGAAACATATCTTTATTATAATAAAAGGAAGGAAGTCTGTGATTCTTTTTTCCCGCTCAAAATAAGGGTACATATGTAATTTTATCTTATCATAATTATTCTGAATTTTATTTTTTTATTTTAATAAATTCTGAACATAAGAAAAATTCTTCCTCTTCTTCTCTGCTTTATACGTTTACCATCAAATTGCTTGTATTTTGTCTTTCACTTAGAGAAGTAATTATGGATATCTATTTCCTATGTATTAGTTGCAACTTTTCAATGCCAATTAATCTCAACTATCCTCTAATTTTTAAAGCATTTTTCTTTTCAAAACTTCATTATAATTGTCCAGTTCCATCATACTCCCTATTTCTAAAAATACTTTCTCCATATATACATTGTTCACTTTCTGATTTGGGTACTGTTGTACTTCTAATATGAGGATTCACACTTTCTCTATCAATCATAGGAAAACCATTTTTAGGTAAGTTTGTATGAAGTTTTAATTTTAAAAGTTAGTTGTTTCAATGTTGATGTATAGTGAACATATTATTAAAAGTTTTATCCTTTTTTACTTTCATCTTCTTTTTAAAGGACATGACTCAGAGGTTTACATTACTAAAGGACATTGCAACGAAGAGAATTGACTGAAAAATAAGAATTCGTATAATAAAATTATGGAGGCTGACAGAGTATAAAAATCCATTGCAAACAAATTCCTTGGAGATGATTTTGGTGGATGAAAAGGTTATTTTTCCATAAATTATAACAATTATAAATTTTATTGTTGGATAGTGTAGTTTTTGTTTTTGCTTCTATTTAAAATTTTCATCTTCACCAAAAAAAAAATATAATTAGTAAATATATTGTTTTCAAAATC